GTGGAGGACTGGTTTGATTCTGTGAAAATCAACATGACTGGTGGTCCTTGATTTATGACCACAACTTCCATTGCTAAGCAAGACAGTTGTTAAGTGGTGTTTTCCCCGTTTTATGACCTTTCTTGCCACCGTTGTTAAGTGAATCACCACCATTGTTAAGTTAGTCATGTGGGTTGTTAAGAACCTGGCTGAGTAGAAGGGAAATATGGAGAGATTTCCTTCAGGCCTACTTAAATAAATGGAACTGAGCCCAAAGATAAATTTTGTAAGAGGCAAATACAGCTTCCTCGACTTACAACCATTCATTTAATGCCTGTTCAAAAGTTATAATGGCACTGAAAAAAAGGGATTTACCCTCAGATTTACGACTATCGCCTCATCCCCGGTGTCACACAATTAAAATTCGGGTGCTTGGCAACATACGTTTTGTTCAGAGTTTTGCCGCGTTAATTCAGCGCCAGAAAAATAAACACAGATGGCTGATGCTTGATTTAATGTCTTTATAAACATAATTAGTAGATTTTGCAAACCAGTTGTAGATTTCTCTAACATGGAGCAAACTCAGACACAAAACATCTTGCAAGTAACTTCAGTAGCACAGAGTTCCAGTCTTCAGCAAAGCAAGCAAGTTAGTTTCTTTTACTTTAGTTCAGGGGTCTTGGATGACCTTTCCAGCTGGCTTCAGACAAGCAAAGTCGAGGGGGAAAATTTGGATTCACTTAACGACCGCCTGGTTTTCGTAATAACTGCCGGATTCATCTACAAACGGCCAGATTTACTTAACGACACCAGATTCACTTATGGGTAATAATTCCTTAATGACCATGGCAGAAAAGGTTTTAAAATCAGGCGTGACTCGTTTAATAGCTGCAAGTTGTTGATTAGCAATGGAAATTCTGCTGGTCATAAGTCAAGGACTATCTGTACAACGCCAGCCCTCTACGCTTTTGGACTGTTTTTTTTTCTGAAAAAAAAAAATACCTCAGGAATAGATGATCCATATCCGTGTCTCTCCTCTGCACAGCAAGGAATTTTAATGCTCTTTTCAAAATACGTTCAACAGGTCAACTTTGTACTCTTTATTTGTATCATCCGGATCCTGGTTCAGAAGCTTCACTCTCCGGATGTCGGGCGGAACGAAACAAGCCAATATTCGTAAGTTCGGACCTCCATTTGGGGGTTACCTGAACCTGTGAAACCATCCTTCTTCTGTCCATCTTTCTTCCTTTCTTCTGTCTTTTCTCTGTCTTCCTTCCTTCCATCTTTCTTCCTTTTTATCTGTTCCTTCTTTCCTCCCTTCGTTTTTTATTTTCTTTCTTTCTCTACATCCTTTCCTCCTTCCTTCCTTCTTTCCTTCTCTCCTCCTATTCCTTTTTCTCCTTTCTTCTCCTTTCCCTTCCTTCTCTCCTTCCTTCCTTCTAGATGTCGGGTGAAACGAAAGAAGCCAATATTTGTAAGTTCAGACCTCCATTTGGGGATAACCTGAAGATGTGAACCCTTCCTTCCTTCCTTCCTTCTTTCTATCTTTCTTTCTTTCTTTTTTCTGTCTTCCTTCCTTCCATCTTTCTTCCTTTTTTCTGTTCCTTCTTTCTTTCCTTCATTTTTCTTTCTTTCTCTACATCTTTCTCCTTTCCTCCTTCCTTCCTTCTTTCCTTCTCTCCTCCTATTCCTCTTTCTCCTTTCTTCTACTTTCCCTTCCTTCCCTCCTTCCTTCCTTCTAGATGTCGGGTGAAATGAAAGAAGCCAATATTTTTAAGTTCAGACCTCCATTTGGGGATCACCTGAAGCTGTGAACCCTTCCTTCCTTCTTTCTATCTTTCTTTCTTCTTTCTTTCTTTTTTCTGTCTTCCTTCCTTCCATCTTTCTTCCTTTTTTCTGTTCCTTCTTTCTTTCTTTCATTTTTCTTTCTTTCTCTACATCTTTCTCCTTTCCTTCCTTCTTTCTTTCCCTCCTCCTCCTCCTCTTTCTCCTTTCTTCTACTTTCCCCTCCTTCCTTCCTTCCCTCCTTCCTTCCTTCCTTCCAGATGTCGGGCGAAACGAAACAAGCCAATATTCGTAAGTTCAGACCTCCATGTGGAGGTCTCCTGAAGCTGTGAACCTTCCCTTCCTCCTTTCCTTCCTTCCATCTTTCTTTTTTCTGTCTTCCTTCTTTCCTTCCTTGCTTCCATCTTTCTTTTTTCTTTTTTCTGTCTTCCTTCCTTCTTTATTTTTCTTTCTTTCGCTACATCTTTCTTCTTTCCCTTCCTTCCCTCCTTCTCCTTTTTTCTCCTTCCTTCCTTCCTTCCAGATGTTGGGCAAAAATAAACAAGCCAATATTTGTAAGTTCAAACCTCCATTTGGGGGTCACCGAAGCTTTGAACCCCGTGAATTGTCCTAAGTTGGCCTCCTGGATCTGATTCAGGATCAGAGACCTCTGGGCAGGGGGAGGGGTCTCCCCAAAAATGGTGGGCGTGATCAGGCCATTCAGCTCCGCCCTGTTCTTATGTGTATTTTAAGTAGTCCTTGATGTACGACCATAATTGGGCCCAACATTTCCTCTGCTAACTTGTTCCCTTAGTTGTTAAGTGAATTTGACCTCCTTTCTCGACCTTCCTTGCCACGGTGGTTAAGTGAATCATTTCAGTTGTTAATTGTTGTTACGTTGTTAAGGGATGCTGTCAGGACTAGAACTCCCCGTTTCCTTGTGATTGGGTCAGAGTCACCCAGATGACTTTCATGCCTAAGGTGGGACTAGAACTCACTGTCTCCTAGTGATTGGGCCAAAGTCACCCAGTTCCTTTCATGGGACTAGAACTCCCCATTTCCCAGTGATTGGGCCAGAGGGACTAGAACTCCCTTTCTCCTGGTGATTGGGCCAAAGTCACCCAGCTGTGCTTTCATGGCTAAGGCGGAACTACAACTCACCGTATCCTGGTGCTTTCACCGCTAGGCCTAACAGCTAAGGGTTAGAATGACTTCTGGGACGTGAATCTCTCACCAGGGTGACTTGCAGTTCTTTCCTGTCCTCCAAGATGAAATAATTTGTCGTTACAGGGAGTCTCCTGCTTGAGCAGGGGGTTGGATTAGATGACCTCCAAAGTCCCTTCCAACTCCATTATTCTGTGGCTTGCTAAACCGCAGACCCCGCTCCTAGCGCTGATAATCCCCCACGCCTTCTCGTCCCCGTTTCTCTCTTTTTCAGGAGACTAGCCAAATCCACTCTTCTTCTGATTCCTCTGTTTGGTATCCATTACACCGTATTCGCCTTTTTTCCGGACACGGTCAAGAAAGAAGTGATGAACGTCAAACTGGTCTTCGAACTTGTTTTGGGGTCCTTCCAGGTGAGCCTTCTGTCGCTTCCAACCACCGTCACCGTTAATCCAGGGGTTTCCAAACTCGGTGACTTGTGGACTTCAACTCCCAGAATTCCTCAGAGCCAGATTGTGGACTTCAACTCCCAGAATTCCTCAGCCAGATTGTGGACTTCAACTCCCAGAACTCCTCAAGTAACTGAGCTGGCTGGGGGAATTCTGGGAGTTGAAGCCCACAGGTCTTAAAATCACCAGATTTGGAGCGCCCCCACCACCACCACCATTGTCCTATAGGTATCGTTTCCTAGGATACTCACAGAGTGTCCGAAAGAGCCTGGCGTCAAAAGCGGGGGGATGGTGGGTGGTATTTTATGGCTGGGGGCTGTCAGCCGTAGAATCTCTTCCCAAAACAGTAGGTGCTGAGAAGAAAGGAAGGATTAGGAGGAGAGGAAGAGAAAGAAGGGGAGGGAGGGAGGAAAAAAAGAAGGAAAGAAGAGAAAGAGGGAGGCAGAGAGAGAGAGAGAGACAGATGAAGGAAGGAAAGAAAGTAAGGAAGAGAGAGGAAGAGAGGAAGAAAAAGAAACAAAAAAATAAATAGAAAAAGAATAGGAAAGAGACAGAGGAAGGAAGGAAGGAAAGAAAGAAAGAAAAAGAAAAAGAAAGAAAGAAAGAAAGAAAGAAAGAAAGAAAGAAAGAAAGAAAGAAAGAAAGAAAGAAAGAAAGAAAGAAAGAAAGAAAGAGGGGGAAGTAGGTAGGTAGGTTCCAGTTTCCAGTATTGATGATGTTATCTAGTTGGGTCATGAAATGTCTGTAAGAAAACTACCAATCTCAGCACAAAGGACCCCACAGTTGTCGTTGTCATCCTCCTTCTCCTCCTCCTCCCAAACCCACTCCTTCTATCCCTGATGACATTCCCTAGCTGGGTCACAAAACGTCTGCCAGGAAACCCACCAGCTCAGAAAACACCAGGGACCCCCGCAGAAAGCACATTCGTGAGGTTCTGTTCATGAGTTTGCCGGGTTGAAATTTTTTCATTCCTTCTTTTTTTTCCCCCATTCTCTCCTTTAGGGCTTCGTGGTCGCGGTGCTGTATTGCTTCGTCAACGGGGAGGTAAGATGTTGGAAACCTTGTCCGCCCAGGGGAGGGTTTTTGGCTTCTGGAGTTAATCATCTCCCGCTTTTGGTTTCCCCCGTCAGTTAATGCATAGAATAAATTTAATGACATTTGCCTTTTAATTTTGCAAGGTCGATTGCAAAGGGGCTGGTGTGGATCCCATAACAACAGACAGGAATAATTTTTGCAATAACCCAGGAAACCTGGCCAGGGGTGCAAAACCCTGATCTGAATAATTAATTATAAAGCAATCTCTCTCCAGTAACCTCCCGATATAAGATAAATCTAGGATCCTGGAGGGGTTTAAGGTTTTTTTAATTACTGCTCGATTTTAATGCAAAGTGGCTCTGATTAAATTTGAGTTTCCAGATTAATCCCGTCAGACGCAGAATATCAGCCCAATAAAATACATCTTGGAAATAGAAACCGTGTTTGGAAATTGCACGGGTACATGCAGTCCTTGACAGTTCATTTGGTGGCTATTTGAAGTTGTAATGGTGCTTTTAAAAAGTGACTTATGACCATTTTTTTTCCACACTTATGACCCAGGGTCAGGTGATCCAAATTCAGACAATTGGCAACTGACTCGTATTTATGACGGTTGCAGTGATCCCCTTTTGCGACCTTCTGACAAGCAAAGCCAATGAGGGGAAGCCCAATTCACTTAATAACCGTGTTACTCACTGAGCAACTGTGATGATTTACTTAACAGCTGCGGCAAGAAAAGTCATAAAACGGGGCGAAACCTGTATAACCCTGCCGTTTTCTTGATGGGAAAGTTTCATTGCCTTTCTGCAGGATTTTGGTTGGTCTCATTTGGCCTGATTTTAACGCATTTTCTTGGGTATAAAAGTCTTGCAGTTTAGGATTTAGGGATAATCAGAGTTGGAAGGGACCTTGTAGGTCATCTAGTCCAACCCCCATTTCTGACAAATGGGAGTCCAGTCTCTTCTTGAAAGCCTCCAGTGATGAAGCTCCCACAACTTCCAAAGGCAACTTCTGTTCCATGAGTTGATTGTTCTCACTGTCAGAAAGTTCCTCCTTATTTCCAGGTTGAATCTCTCCTTGTTCAGTTTCCATCCATGATTCCTTGTCTGGCCTTCCGGTGCTTTAGAAAATAGCTTGACCCCTTCCTCCTCTCTGTGGCAGCCCCTCAAATATTGGAAGGCTGCTCTCCTGCCTCCCCTGGTCCTTCTCTTCCCTAGACTAGCCAGGCCCAGTTCCTGTACCGCAAGGATTTCCTCTTGGTGCCCCATCCGCTCAACAAGCCTATTCTTGCTTTGCTTTGGAAGATCAGCCAAATTTGGCTTTGCCGGTATAACTTTAAAGATAGTCCTCAACTTGCGACATCTCGTCTAGTGACTTCTTCGAAGTTACAACAGCAATGGAAAAAAAGGTGATTTATGACCCTTCCTCGCACTTATGACCATTGCGGCATCCCCACAATCAGGGGATCAAAAGTCAGTGTGGGAAGCCCGATTCATTTAACAACCCTGAGGCTGACTTAACAACTGAGGTGATTCTCTTAATAACAGTGGCAAGAAAGATCTTTAAAAGGGGCAAAATTCACTTAACTGCCTTGCTTAGCAGCAGAAATTTTGGGCTCCATTGTGGTTATAAGTTGAGGATTGCCTTTAAAGGCATCTTACAGGTAGTCTTCAATTTATGACTGGTCGCTTCATCTTCCCAATTTATGACACATGACTCGGGGTCACTGCAGCCATCATAAACACAAGTCGGTGGTAAAAAGGGATTTATGTTATAATATAGCTATTAGGTGATGAATGTTATAATTGTTTAATGGGATAATTTAAAAGTAGAATGTTTAATGGGATTTGAAAGGGAACTAACTATAAGATATAAAGGTGACACACTCTAATTGGCCACTACAGGGAAAACCTTGTTTTAGTAATGTTAGAAATCTGGATATGTAATTAAAATTGTAAACAGGACAGATAAAACTACAAGTATAATTATTATGAAGGTATGAAATTTTGAAAAGGATATGTAATAGGTTTAGAAATGAATGAGAAAGCTATAAAATAAGCCCGAGGGAAGTATTTGAGGGAAAAATTAATAAAGAATATATAAAGTAGTGATAAAATATGAAATTGAATATGAAAGATGAATATGTAATGGAGATTGTATCTGTTGTAAAAACCTGGAACCAAGCTGTTCACTAAAAAAAGGTGGGTTTTTGTTTTGTTTTGTGAAAACCCAAATAAAATTGTTTAAAAAATAAATAAATATGAGTCGGTGGCCAAGCACCCGAATTTTGATCACCTGGGGGATCGCACAATGGTCGTGAGTGTGAAAAACAGTCCTAAGTCACTTTTTTCTGTGCTGTCGGTCACTAAATGAATGGATGTAACTCAAGGACTATCCCGTAATGTGTTGTTGTTTTTTCCTCTCCCCCGTCTCAGGTTCAAGCCGAAATGAAACGCAAATGGCGCAGGTGGCATATGGAACGCTTCCTGGGTTCGGATACGAAGTATCACCACCCGTCTGTTGGCAGCAGTGGCACCAATTTCACCACCCAGATCTCGATGTTGGCTACCTGCAGCCCCAAAACTCAACGCAGCTCCACTTTTCAAGCTGAAAAATCTCTGGTTTGAAACGCAGAAGCCGGAAACCGCCCAGGCGAGCGGAAGCTTGCAAGCAACGGGATTTGGGAGTCAAGTATTTGGCATTATTATTACCATTTATTATTTTTAAAGCTTTTTTTTTTTTTTTGCAAGCAGAACTGGGACAAAATTCTGGGGGCCCAGAGACTCAGAACAAGAAAAGTTAAGCCTGGATTAATTCCTCTTCCTTTTTCCCCACCTGGAATCGAAGGGGTTTGTTTGATGTTTTGAAGGCCGAGACTGCCGGAAGTGGTTCTTTGAAAGCGTCTCCGGAGCTGGCTGGAATGGACAGGAAGGAATGGAAAAATCAGCTGTGAAAAACAGAATCGTTTCGCTGATGTGGTGGCCTACTTGGGTCATGAAATGCCTGCAAGAAAGCAACTGAGAGCACCAAGGACCCCACAGTCCTCCTCCTCCTCCTCCTTCCTCTTCATTTTCCTTCTCCTCCTCTCTGCAAACCCCGCTCCCTTCCGGCACTGATGACGCTACCTAGCTGGGTCATGAAATGTCTGCAAGAAAACGAATAAGTTCAAAAAACAGCAAGGAGTCCACATCTTCATCCTCCTCCTTCCAACAAACGCCCTTCCCTTCCAGCACTGATGACATTAACCTAGTTGGGTCACGAAACGTCATGAAAATCATCTTCCTTCATTGGGAGATCTCTTTTTTTGAAAAAAAATTTCTACAAAGGTTACTGGAAAAAACCTCCTGAACCTTGAATGCTGAAATACAGGTAGTTCTCGACTTATGACCGGCTGCTTAGCAAACTTTTGAGGTTACGATGGAACCTCCCACAGTTCCTTATGTCCCGTTTTCAGAGTTATGACGGCCACACAACAGGTCACATGATTTTCCGGCATTTTGCAACTGTCTCCTCTTTGCAGGAATTTGCAGGGTGCTGTGGTCACGTGACCACAATTTGCGAGGTTGTTTAACAGTTCTTGGCATTCATTTCCAGTTTCTGACCAAAAAAAGAAAAAAACAGCCCATTGGGGAAAATAGTCACTTAACAACCATGTTGTTCACTTAACAACTGTGGCATTCGCTAAATGAAAATGTCCTGCCACGTGACGTCTCGACTTACAACCAGAATTTATGACATGGTAGTCCCTGATTTAAGACCACATTTAATCCCAAAAATTTCCATTGCTAAACAGGACAATTAAGTGAGTTTTCCCTCATTGTGTGAGCTTTCTTGCCCCAGTTGTTAAGTGAATCGCTGCAGATGTCCAGTTTACAACATGGTTGTTAAATGAATCTGGCTTCTCCATTGGCTTTGCTTGTCAGAAGGTCGCAAATGGGGATCATATGACCCCGGGAGACCACAACTGGCATAAGTACATGCCAGTTGCCAAGCCTCTGAATTTTGATCATGTGACAACTGGGATGGTGCAATGATCATAAATGTGAAAAACGGTCATAAGTCACTTTTTTCAGTGCCATTGTAACTTCAAATGATCACTAAATGAATGGTTGTAAGTGAAGGACTAGCTGTACTCTAAATTGTAGAAAATAGAAGCTGTTAGTGCTAGAAAATAAAGGTGTTTTTTTCTGAATTTATAGCATATTTCTGATTAACGTTGGGTCTCCACCCACGGATGAAAGCTAAGCTGCATTAAATGATGGTTAGAAAACGTTCACACGGCACTTTATCAAGATTGCAAGCAAGACTTCTTGATAAGGTACGAAGCCTTCCTACATCCAGGTTTGTGAAGGAGTTAAGTTGTCCTTTTCAAACTATTCCAGAAAATTCTGAGCAGCCACGCATGGAAGCTCCTTTTCCCAATCTTGACTGACCAACATGGACCATTTTTCAGTAGTGATTAGCTTCTGGGCTCGTTTGCCATGATCCAAGATCGTATCCTGTGGCTTCGTCCAGAAGTCCATCACTGTTGAGTGGATGCTACCCATGAAAGGCTTCATGAATAGCAGATTACAAATTAGATTACAGATAATCAGAGTTGGAAGGGACCTTGTAGGTCATCTAGTCCAACCCCCTGCCCAAGCGGGAGACCCTACACTATTTCTGACAAATGGCATTCCAATCTCTTCTTGAAAGTCTCAAGTGATAAAGCTCCCACAACTTCCGAGGACAACTTCTGTTCCATGGGTTGATTGTTCTCACTGTCAGAAAGTTTCTCCTTATTTCCAGGTTAAATCTCTCCTTGTTCAGTTTCCATCCATTATTCCTTGTTTGGCCTACAGATCATTTTAGTTTCCTATATATCTGTTGATAACATCTATGAAGGACACCAAGTCTGGTGACAAAATGGTTGGTTTCTATCTCTTTCATTGTTGCGCCACAAAACTCACCAGGATGAAAATTGAGAAGATAACCAACAGATGTGGACATATTTTGGAGAACCTACCATCTCTTGCCAACCATTTTCCACTTGAGAGCTGAGGAACACTTAACTCTGGTGTTCAATCAACCTTCAGTCAATAGTTCTCCCCTGTGGCTTCCATCTTGTAAATATTTCAGACATGTCCTGACCACACTTCTGAAATCGGAACATTTTTTTTCCCGTAGTATTCTCCATTTTTCAATAAGAAAAATTCTTGTTTCTTTTGACCTTCGACCTTCTCTTATTTATTGAGCCAGAACTGTAAATATGAGCTTTCCATCGATTCATCTCAGGTTTCGCTTTTTAAAAAACAATTAAAATCCAGAATAGTGAGATGGAGATGGACAAGGTGATTTTGTGTGTGTGATTATCATTGCCAAAAAAAATAAAGTTAACTGCACATCATTATGTTGGAGAGAAAAATGCCTGTATCCTTTCTGCAATCAGTTCGCATTAGTATAAAGTACTTATGTAAAATTATGCTGAGTGCAGGAAATGCTGCCGGATCTGAAATTCATTGATTTGTTGACTTGGTCGTTAATTTGTCACAATTTTCTGGTTTGCCTAAGGGTTAATGTGTGATGAAGGCTGTCCAACTCCAGATTCTTATTGGAAGGAGATAAGCATATTGTAACATCTCTTATTTCATTGCTGCTGCCTCTCACACAGATGAAAGTATAACAGAATAAGAGTTGGAAGGGACCTTTGAGGTCTTCTAGTCTAACCCCCTGCTCAACAGGACGCCCTATACCATTTCAGACAAACAGTTATTCAGTTTCTTCTTAAAAACCTCCAGTGTTGGAGTATCCATTCACAACTTCTGGAGGGGAGCTATTCCACCGATTGATTGTTCTAATTGTCAGGAAATATCTTCTCTTAGTTCTAGATGGGGTGGCCATCAGATGGCATAGGTTGCCAACCCCCCAACCAATCAGAACACAGCCAAACCCCCAACCAATGAGAACACCCCCCCACCCAATCAGAACACAGCCAAGCCCCCACCCAATCAAGTCACACCCCCACTAGCAGTTAAAAGGAAGAAACAGCTGCAAGCTCACATTACTCCGAGAAGCACAAAGCCGAAGACACAAGCCTGAAGATGACGAATGATCAGCGAAACGTCACCTAGATACTTCCAATTTTACATGGGAGAAAACCTGAATAACCAAAGATACACACACACACACACACACACACACGATATATATATATCTTCCCCTGATTTCCAGCAGATTTCACCTAAATAACCTTCTCTGCAGCCTTTCATTTCTCTCGGCTGAGTTGAAGGAAAGAGAGAAAAGCCAGCCCCCCTGACCAATGCAATTTGCTATTTTACTCTCTTCCTCAACAGATCCTGCAAAGGCAGTCCTCGGTTTACGACCCCTGTACAGGCAGTCCTTGCCTTCTGACCATAATTGGGGTCAAGAGTTTCCATAGCTAAGCCAAAAAAGGCAGCCGTTAAGTGAGCCACAGCTGATTTTCTGGCTATTTTTGAACTGGTTGTTTAGCGAATCAGTGCTATCATTAAATGAATCACATGGTCATTAAGTGAATCCTGCTCCCCCCCCCCCTTGACTTGGCTTGTCAGAAGCCAGCTGGGAAGGTCAGAAATAGAAATCGTGCGATTCTGGGGTGCTTCAACCATGGTGAATGCATGCTATTTACCAAGCGCCTGGATTTTGAAATGAATGTGGGAAGTGCTGTGAAAGTTGTAAGTATGAGGACCAGTTGTAAGTCACAATTTCAATTCCCTTCCAACGGAATAGGATGGATTGGAAAGGAAGGAAAGGGAAAGAACAGAACAGAACAAAAAATAATAGATTAGAAGGGAAGGGAAGGGATAAGATAATATACTGAATAGAAAATATAGGATAGGACAGGATAGGATTGGAATGGAATGGAATACAGAGTAGAATAGAAATATAGAAGAGAATATAGAAGAGAATTCAGAATAGAAATATAGAAGAGAATGTAGAATAGTATAGAATAAAATATTGGGAGAAGAGAAGAGAAAAGAGAAGAGAATATCAGTAGAATAGAATATACTGTAGAATACAGAACATAAAATTGAAAGGGTAGGATAGGAATGGAATAGAATTTAGAATAGAAATATAGAATTCAGAATTGTAAATGTGACCGTTGAAAACAGGACAGGACAGGATAAGATGCAGAATAGAATGGGATGACAGAATCGCCTACATTTTTCATTCTCCCTTTTTTCTGCAATCTTCAAACAGCTGCCAGGAAGGATGTGGTTGGCCTTATAACACCCTGCTGATTAATTAAGTGGATCTCTGGGTTTTCTGTCCTTGGACATTGATGGAGTCTTGCATTTTTCTTCGCTGCTAATGGCCAACCGGTCAAATATATATAGAGAGAGACATTTTTCCCCTACCCAAAAGCTGCAGAGTTTTTTTCTGAACCCTTGACCCTGCCTTCATTTATTCTTCGATTCAGGGAAAATAACAAGTCACGGTGATAAATGAACATGTTCGCTTTGTTTGGCTTTGTTTATTCATTCGCCCTTAATATTTCTTGCAAACCCGGTCAGCAAATGCCAGATTGAGTGGGCTCTCCATGGGGGAATTTGGAGGAGGTGATAACAGATGGATTTTTTTTTTTTTAAATCCCTCCTAGGAGTGAATCAACTTGGGTGGGGTTTGAAAGCTGCCTCAGTTCTCATTGTGATCCACTAACCTTTGGAAGGGGAAAATAATAACGCACGGAAGAATTTTGGAGGCACCAAACAACCCACTTGGAAATCTGACATATATGAGCAATCTTTTTGCAAAACCTAGAGAGTTTAAAATGTCAAGTGGAAAAGAGTTGAAGTCAGGCGAGCGTGAAAAAGGATAAAAAAAACCCATCCTTCTCTACATTTCAGATGCCAAGAGGCTGAGGCTTCACACTGTTCAGGCATCCAAGTTCCCAACGGGGAAGAGAAAAGAGAGTCTGCCTCTAACGCTTTCTAAAAGGGGAATTTGGGAGGAATCCTTAGGAAGAGAATTTGCCCTGGAAGAGATTATATTAGATAAAATGATACATGGGAGATAGAAGATAGGAGGAGAGAGGGGAGGGGGGGGAACATGATAGACAAAGATAGGGAGATAAGATAGATGAGAGAGAGA